AGAGAGAAACGATTACGCATAATAAGAGGAGACGATAAAGCAGGGAAACGATGCGAGAAATCATGATGAACGCTTTGTTTTATAGTTACGGTTATTTCTCTCGACACTCTTTTACCGTCGCTTCGTTTTTTTCCCCTGTTTCTTCGCTGTTTCCTCATTTCCCTTACTCAACGCCCGCACTTTAACAATTAAACGAAGAGGATCGTAAAGATCGTTTGCTTCTCTCTTCTTCGCGATTGGCTCGATTAATTTTCCAAATCTTCTGTCAATCTGCTTGCCACGAACTAAAGTAACTAAAGCTATGCCAGAAATCTGATTGAAAAGTAACTGAAACTTGTTTATTATTTGAATCGATGATCATTTTTTTTTTTAAGGAAAATTTTTCGACGGAAAATATCCAATATTTCGGTAACAAGTAACAACTGAGAAAATGACAAAAAATGTTTTCTATTGTCGATAGCCATCGTCGACGAAGACGACATTGCCAATTTCTCAATAATTATATTAATTTCTCATAATTTCGAACAATCGTTTTGGTTATCGACGAGAGGAATTTATTTCAGTTGCTCACAACTACATTGCAGATTTTCAAAAGTTCTTACAAAAAATTTGAAAGTGCAAAAACACGCAGAATGCATGTAATGTGCAAAAGAATATAAAATATCCAAAGTGCAATACTCTGTGTGACAATTAATAAAGGAAACAATTTTTCTGTTTAGCTCTTTTCTAAATTTTATTTACAAAAATATTTGTTCACCAATCATGGTTATTGGCAGCGGAAATATTTTTTTCGGGCACTTATATACGTTGTTCATAATCAAAAGCTTTTTGGTCAAGGAAAAATAATTCTTTAACGATTTTTTTGTTCATTCTTTTGTTATAATAGTAATGGTCTCTGCACCAAACGTAGATGGACTAACATTAGAACAATTGATCTTTAATAGACATCCAATATATTCTACGTATAAATGACAATAATTAAAACAAACAGATTTAGAAGATCCTATTTTTGTCTCAACGGAAGTGAGCATTAATTTTGATAAAAATACGCGTATCTTTCAAGCAAATGTAAAACAAGAGAATTTCAAATCCATATTGACAGATTGGGTCGTTTAAGTTTTAAACAATTATCACGTATTTTGTAAAATAGCAGGAAGCCAAAAATTATCTGAAAAATTTTTGTGAATAAGGTCAATAACATAGAAACACGTTTACTATTTAAATTATCAATATCAATCGCAAACTGTACAAAGAACTTCTCAAAAGTGCACACAATTCGAAAAATTTCGATTCTTCGAATTGAAGTCATTATTCATAAGTTGAATTCTATGACAATAATTAGACTGCGGATTTTTATCCATTTATAATTTTAATTTTAATGAAATTGCATATAATGCATGTAACATGAAAAAAATCTACAAAATGTTCAAAGAATAGTGTTTTATTTTTTTTTATAATATTTGAAACGTAAAACAACTAGAGGCTATTTTTTTCTTTTTTCTTTTTATTGTGTTCTAAAAAATATGAATTTCCATGAAAATTCACGGTCTAATAATTACGAACGAGGGAAATTTATTTAAATTGTCTCACAACAGTTATCGATAAAAGAGATTCTATGATATTTTCAGTTGTCATCAACGAGGGAAATTTATTTCACTTGTTCACAATTTAAGAGTTAATATTCAGTATTTGTCCAAAATGATATAGTTGTTAAATTTTATGTGTATTTTGTAACACAACTATTAATAAATACAGATTCTTTTATTTACTAACATAACTTCTTAATATTGTTTTGTATTCAATTGTATTTACTTGTATATTTATTCTTTAATTGTACATATTTATATAATCAGTTGTCAACTGACAATTAACAATACTCGTTTTGAAAATCCTCGAGTAAGCGTGTGTGTAAAAATACTCTGAACGCGTTAAAAAACATTCGTCAATTTCATCATTTACTTACTCACATCGAAAGATCAAAGGTCGTATCAAGTTCAATTCAGTCATAATTATTACCCCATTGCTACGATTGGACACCGAATTTTGCCAACATTGAAAGAAACACCGTATCGATTAAAAGTTCTAAAAAAAACTTAAAAAGATTTAAAAAGAAAAAAAGAGAGCGGTTTTATTTGTGAAAAAAAAGCAACAGATTGATCTCTCTTTGGGCAAAAAAGAAGGAAACTGGAAAGTTAAGCTTTCTCTTCCCATCCTCCGAAAGCTGACAGAGATTTCTCGCGGAACAATCGTTTCTTTCACAACAACGGCAGATTAATCAAATTTTCACTTCAACTGAGCTGAATGGGAGAACGGGGAACGATTGTTTAAAACTCGTAAAAAAATCAAATGTTTGTTTCCACACCGGTATTGCGTA